TCACACAATTCTAAGGCTATGCAGAGAGCAACAACAGCAGCAAAGAAGGCTGCATTAAGCTTGCCCCCACCCCCTTCTCCTCTCTCCTAAGGCACCCTCCCCCGTGGCAACATTCGTAGGCGACACGCCTGCAATTAGGTGCAAAAACACGTACCAAAACGTTGTGGCTGTTGTTGTTGTTGTCCTCGCTGCTTATGGCTCCGGCTTGTTCTTGTATCCGGTTATGATAGAAAACGTCTGTCTATGGGCAGGACTTCAGCTTGGACTCATCTCCGGCATGTTTTTGGGCTGCAAATGGGCCCAAAGGCAGAACTTTAATGAGACGGAAAGCGGGCGCCAATCGCTGCAATTAAAATTAATTACAGTATTTGTCAGCTTTGTGGCTAACTGGCCACCAAATGCGGCAACAGCCGTTGCACTCGGCTCATTCACAGCGAGCAGCAGCGTAGGGCAGGGGCAGGGGCAGGCGATGCGATTCAGGGGCGTGGCTGGGCGCAAGACGCGCTGCATTGATTGCAATCGCGATCGTTAATTAAATGTCGAAAGGAATGTTGTTGTTGTTTGTTACTGTTGCTGTTGCTGCTGCTGCTGTTGTTGTTGCTGCTGTTGTTGCTGCTGCTGCTGCGTAAAGATCAGCCAGCTGGGATAAGAGGCAAGTTGCTGTTGCCGCTGCTATTTATAGCCGCTGTGCCGCGGTGCGGCACGCAACGCAACGCGATGCCTCGCTGCAATGCGCCGCGCTCTTTATTATCGCCCTTGATCTTGGCTAAATCGAAATCGCCTGCATTGCGTGAAGTGTTGCAAATGAGTTTTTGTCCGGGGCGTGCATTGAATTTTCAATTGGCCAGCAAATTGGCAGCACCAAATCAGGTAGAAGCAACCGCAGCTGGCCAAAAAGCCATATGCATAGGCTTCAATTCGAAAAAGGAAAAGTAATATAACGAACTTGTGTTTCGATATGTTATCGATGGCATAAACGATTGTACACTTTGCTAAAACGTTCTCAGAATTTACCGAAGTTCTAGCGATATATAGGAAACAGAACTTAGTAAGCTTATGGCTAGCTGTAAGTTTTACATTGTATTGTGGCCCGAATGTTTCAATATGTTATCGATAATTGTAAATAACAAATCTTCCATATCATCGATATATACATATAACAGAGCAGTCAGCTAATGCCACAGAAAGACAACTTACTCCAGTGGTGAGCGTTCTATTATTTTAAAGCCCGAATTAATCGAAATCTTATCGATATACTTGTGTATATCGACACATTACACCAGAAAACCAGCCAACCCTACTGGTGAGTTTTTGATTATTTTGTAGCCTGAATTAATAGATTTGTGATCTATATAGTTACGCAAATAATACATTTTGTGTGCATTTCATTATTTTGAAGCTGGAATATATCGACATGTAATCGATATGTGTGCATAACAAAGCATTCATTCAATAGAGTGGAATGTGTATGTTTAGCTGCAAGCTTTTCTCTGCATTTTTCAAAAAGTAAACATTCCATTTCAAGCTGCCCCCACTCCACTCTAATTGGAAAACCCAAAATGACTTGACCCAAATGAGAGGTTGAGGAAGCCAAGCCAAACACTCCGCAATTGTTCCAAAAAAAAAAAAAGAAAAGAAAGACAAATGAAGCCTGGTGAAACTCTTGTCAAACGAGGTTTCACTTGCCAACTGGAAAACATCTTCATTTCCACTGGCTTTTCACGGAGACGTTGGCGTCGCAAGTTATTCCTAAACAAAGGGAACACCATTCGCCGATGTCACGCCCGGGTCAGGGCAGGGGGGAGGATATGGGTGCAAATGTTTGCAAAATAAATGCACTTGTGCATACGAAACTTCAAGTTTATCAATAGACGGCGGCAAACAGTGCAAAACTCTGAACTCGTTTCGAGCCAAGTTCTGTTTTATTTTTCTATTTTTCACTGCTAGCAGTAGAAAACTTTGAAGCTCAGTTAAAAAAAAAGAAGTTGATTGCAACTCTTTGGCTTTGGTGACGGCTGCAGCTCCTGGCCCGGTCTGGCCCGGTCCGATCCGGTCCGGTTGTCTTACTAAAATGAAAATGCAAACAAATGAAAAGTGCAACTGCCGTTAACTGGGTGACCGGGCGATCGGGAAAGCGTCGGAAATTGTTGCCGTCCAAATGCAGTTTTGATGGCGGCAAAAATTGTCAATTTGTGGCCAGTTGAGCCAATTGGCAAGTGCTAAAAATCGATTTGAACATTATCTGAAAAGTGCATTTGCCAGAGATGCAGCTGATAAATTGAATGTACGTCGAAAGCTTGGGGATTTCTATTCTTTATTATTATTGAATAAAGATAAATTCGTTTGGATCCACTCGATTATCCCGAGAACACTTAAAGTTTAGAAATTCCAGTTAGAATTAATTATGCTATATTTTTCAATAAAGCTTTTTTTATGCTAAAGCGGCTTTGTTTTAAACCCGATGATAATTATCTTAAATATCTAATAAATAAACGGTTGTCTATAATTTATAAAAATTAAATAGTTGGGCATGTTTTTCCAGTATAAAACACAATTAACCGTTTAAACCTTTTAAAACACTTGTTTTTTGTTCATTTGCAATCATACCGGTTCAATTATATGTTTACCTCTAAACTACAAAATATAAAAAATGCCCTCTTTATCACCCTTTACCTCCCCTGTAGCAGCCACAACACAACCTCAAATGCAAATGAGCCACGTGCATTCACAACGTCAAGTGCTTCACATGCAACATGTTCGAAACATCCTCAATGCCGGCTATTAACTAATTTTGTTGTGTGTTGCATCAGAGATGAGCAGGCGCAGCCAACGTGCTTGAAGCGCTGGCCAACACTTGACAACAGGTTACAAGCTTAATGAGACAAGTTGGCAGCGCTGTGTTGAAGTATGAAATGAATTTATGAGTAGTTTCGGAATTGAAGAATATGATTTGTTTTTTAATTATTTAAGAAATTGTTATATCGTTTAAAAAAATGCCTCTTGAATTTATCTTGAAAATTTTCTACACTGAGAACATAGCTTGTTGCATTTAAATGAGTACAAACTTTATCAAAATACGGCTAAGGTCCAAATTTTCAAATCACAAAAGTACTTAAAATTCCCTAGCAGATAAGTGAATCAATCCGAAACTGCTCTTTGAATCGCATAAGCTTTGAACACATTACTATTGTACCTAAACATGTCACCTTATCTGTCACTAAATTAGTCACGAAAAGAATGAATACCTAACTTAAACCACAATCAAAGAATTTATGCAATTTTCGCGTACCTTCTGAGCTGTGATAAGAAAAGGTAACAAATGACTTTTATGACATTATCACCAAACTCTGGTAATTTATGAATGACATTACTAAGTGCACGACTTACAACTCAATTACTTCCAGCGATAGTTGTCTTACCTTTGTGCACAGTAAAAAAAAAATCGTTTGCTTTCAATTAAAATGAAATATAAAAAAAATTAAAATAGAATAGAATGTAGCCACAATCAATCTCTATATATAAAACTGTTTGTCCTGACTGACTGACTGACTGACTGACTGACTGACTGACTGACTGACTGATTGGTGATCAACGCACAGCCCAAACCGTAAGAGCTAGGAAGCTGAAATTTTCACTGTAGATACCTTATGTGATGTAGGTGCACGTAAAGACGGGGTTTCGGGAAATTACACTCGCAAGTGTGGAAAAATCGCGAAAAACGTTTGTATGTAACTTTTTTGTTTACCATCCCATCGGCCCCAAACTTATTTTCAAAGATCTTTGTTCAAATTCATTTGAGGGGTGTTTCGCACTTTTCGAAAAATCCGTTCCTCCTTGGTGGAAATGGAGGTCAAAGATTTGGTGGGTGACGTTTCGAGCTAAAATTCATTTCCAGTGATCTATATGAAAAATCATTTGAGACGTGTTTCTCACTTTTCGCAGAATTCAAACTTCTTCGGGGGGAATGCGATTTAAAGATTTTTTGGGCGGCGTTTTAAGTTGTGTCCGATTTGCTTCAAACTTATTTTTAAAGCTCTTCATAAGAACTTAATAAGTACGTATTTCAGCGATTTGGGAAATTCCACCCGCAACAGTGGTAAATTGGCGGAAAACGGTTGTATGAAAGTTTTTTGTTTACCATCCGATCGGCCCCAAACTTATTTTCAAAGATCTTTGTTCAAATTCATTTAAGGGGTGTTTCACACTTTTCGAAAGAAGATTTGGTGGATGACGTTTTGTGTTCAAATTTTTTTCCAAAGATCTATACGAAAAATCATTTGAGACGTGTTTCACACTTTTTGCAAAATCTAAACTCCTTCGGTGGAAAATGCATTTCAAAGATTTTTTTGGTGAATTTTAGGAGTTTTCCGATTTGCATAAAAGTTGTTTGATTCCCGTCCGATCAGTTTTAAAATCATTTTCAAAGCTTTTTTGATTTTATAACATACGTGCCACGGGCAAGGCCGGGTTATACCCGCTATATTAAATAAAATGACGAGAGAGCATGTATATCAAGAGAGCTTGGTGTTGAAATTGAATTGAATTCTAAAAAAGATTAAAATTTTCTAAACTTTTTGATATTTTTTACAGTGCACCCTTAAGTATAACCCAAAGATAAATAAATAGAATTTCAAGCGAAATGTATTTACTATAGCATGCACTTAAAGTAACTAAAGTAGCGATTGGATTCACTTTTGTTATTACATTTCGAGATAGAAAAAAGCATTGGGCCATGCGGGCGCCTTCGTCATGGGACATTTGCGCGACAAAATGAATGTGGCGACGCGGCCCGCAGAGCGGCGGCCTCTTATCACCGAGTGCTTATCCTAAACTGACCCACTCACTCACACACACACACATACACCCACATCGAACAAAGTCAACGCGACATGTTGTAGGCTGGCGTTGCCAACCAACGGTTAGCCGGCGCAAGCGAACCGTTTCATCTCACACAAGTTCGAGACGTCGCGCTGCGCTCAGTCAGTCGTATTTTGACCGTTGAAACAGTTGGAAGTGGGGCGTGTGCAGAGCGTAACGTTGCATTTCTATATTTTCATCACGACAATTCTCGCACACAGGTGCAGCTGCTGTGTGTGTGTGTGCGCGCGTACGTGTTTCGTGTCTATGGTTGTGAGGGCGCGTGAAAATCCCACAAAATCAAGAGCAGCAGGAGAATCACAGTCAGCTGTGCGTTTTGCTTCGCCTTCGTCGGCAAAATGTGTGAAATATAAATGCAAATTAAATGTAATAAGCATAAATTTCAGATTAATAGCCGTGAATATTTCAAGTTGAGTAAATTTTAAACAGTGTGCAAACAAATACTACAACGCCTGCTAACAGCGCGCGCGCTCTTTGCCTTAGTGTTGTGTAGTGTGTGTTTTATTTTTACTGGTAGTTATTGTTGTAAGGCCGCCGCGGATTTAGTTCTGTGTTCCTTTTAAGCCCCGCAGCCTACATTTTGACAGCAAAATCAAAGCAGGAGCAGCACAAGCAGAAGCAGCAGCAGCAGCAGCAGAGGAAGCGGCAACGAACGTGAGGGGTAAGTCAGTCGAACTGAGCGTCAAGTGTCTCTGCCACGCGACCAGGAGCTAAGCAACATCAACAAAAATAACAACAAAAGCAACTTAACGAACAGACAGACAGATATGTCGGAGCGCAACGAAACGGTTGGCATAGAACCTCGCAACAGCAGCAGGTGCCGCTGTCTGCTGTTTGTTGTTGTTATTTTGTTGTGGCTGTTGCCTGGCGCTGCACAACAAAATATTTAATTTGTTGTTGTTGTTGTTGTTACTGTCGTTGCGTGTGTGTTCCGCGTGGCTCCGTTAACTCGAGCTGACATTTACAACACTGCCAACGACGCGTCGCCCCCCGCCCATGCCTTTTGCGTGCTTAGGTTCGACCATTGTTGTTGCTTTTGTCGTCTGCTTTGCTTGTTCTTGTCTTTGCCTACTGCTTCTTTCTTATTATTATACATATATATATATATATATATTTTTTTTTTGGCGTGCATTGACATTGTTTTTGCCTGTTTGTTTTTGGCGCTTTCCTTTGCACTGCTTCGCTTGGCTTTGTTTTTGTCTGCAAATTACTTTTATTGGCCACTTCCTTGACTTTGTTTTTGCGCCGGCAAATAAGAAAAATCAATAAATTTTTATTTGATTTTCATTCCCAGTCAGTCGTTGCCAGCTGTGGCCAACCGCCAACCCCAAGCCCCGATTTTCATTCTTATGTTTTTGGCATTGCTCTGGCCCGTTGCCACCCTTTCAAAATGCAACCCTGTGTCTGCCTCTGCCGCTGCTGCTGCCTCCGCCTCGGCCTCTGGCTGTGTCTGGGTCTATTTTGCCGGTTTGTTTGGGTTCGTGTTCTCTACAGTTCTCTATTGGCACACGGAACTGGCCTAGAATCGGGCCAAATTTATTAATTATCAAGAGAAACCGTTAGGTGACACACTTTCGCAAGGGAGCGTATTACTTAGAATAGAGGAAGCATATAGATTAAATTCAAGATATTAAATTGATAGACTCTTGTCTTTTATAATACGCTAATTAGGCTAACTTTTAATTCATCTGCATAATTAAATTGGAATATCATAGTATATGTTCACTTAGCGGGGAGTTCGTTGAACGTTTCTGAGTAAACATTAACATTCTCTTTCTTCTTATCACGACAAGAGTTTTATGGAATCTTGATGGGTTGTTAAGTTTATGGAACGGTCAATCGGAATTGTTTTTGTGCTCTAAATAATCTGGTTTAAAGTTTCGGCAAAGGCGACGCACTTACTCTATATTCAGTATATGCTTTATCTTAGGTTGTATAATTTTTTGCAATCTATTTTGAGAATCGTTTAACACAGCTTTTGGCACCTCTAAATTGGAAGCTTGATTATGTTTATCTAAGCTGAGATGAGTAAAATATTATTGATATTGGTATATATACATCATTATCATATATTGATATATGATAGTAAACATCTCCCAGAATCCTTTCAAGTATTATATTAACCACAACAAGAGTAGCTCTGAGCAAGTCCCTAAGTCCCAAGTTCTCCTAACCTCCCTTCAGAAAATCTTGCCTTGTTATGTGACATTCAAAGGGTTCATTTCTAGAGGCCCTGCTGTGCCTAACTCCATAAATTTAATTTCTTTTACATAACTCTCACAACGCTTCAGTAGCTTTTTCGTTAAAAATAATTTAAATTAATTTTTATCTTAATGTTACCATAAATATTTATTTTGCCACGCTCTTCTTTTTTTCCCCTACTGTTCCGCATACATTTCCTGTTATTATAATACTTATAAATGCTATTATAAAGTTCTCTGTAAATTAATACCCTTTTTACCATATTTTTCGCTCTTTTGCATGTTTAGGACTTGCCTCATTTTTTTTTCCTGTCGCCCTTCGACTTGTCACTTGTTCTCAAGTTTCGCATATTTTCCTGCCGACCACCTGCTGAAACCTGTCTTGGCCAATTCATATTTGGCCGCAAGTAAAAGTGGCTTCGCCCGGGCCCTATTATGTCTGTCTGTCTCTCTTCTTGCAACACACACATTACTACATACTCTTCCATTCATTTTTATTTATTTATTAAAACGTAACATTCGTATAATTTGAAAACGGGTTTCATTCTCAGCTAGTCAGGGGTCTCGCCGCCCGCCTCTGGGTTCGAGCCGGCTGCCTCTTCTCTTTTTTTTTTTAACTCTTTGGACTGCATCATTAAGAAGCATCATTGGTAATTAAATTTAATTATTAATGTCGGCCGAAAAAGCTGGGCATGGCAGGCGGGCGGCGGGGAATCGGAGCGGGTAAAAGTTAAAGCTGTTGCCATTTATGTTTATTTTAATAAATTAATCACAATGATATTTTGCGTCTTACATCATGGCCTGGTCACTCTGTTGATTAATGTGCTGCTCCCAATGTGGCCAGGTGTGAGAAAAAGAGAAAAGAGAAGCCTAATTGGACGCTAATCTTACATAGTACATTTCGCACGTCCAACACGTTCTCTCCAAATGTGGACCAGCTGCGCAGCTTTATCGAGAGTAAACCCAAAAAAAAAATAATGATTGTAATATTCGTAGTGCTAGTCCAATATTCTAGTATTTCAGCTCTTCTACACGTTTCGCAACATGATCGAGAGGAATTTGCATATGTGTATATAGATAGCACTCGCGTTTTGTGGATCTTTTTACGGGCTGCTGTAATCTAATGTCGTCCCAAAACGCGGAGAGCACGTTTTTGAGTTGTTTGTGTTGTTTGTGTAACTGTAGTTGCCACTGGATAACTGTAGCACTTCGAATGGCAGCTGAAAGCGGAAACTGCAACTGGCAGTTGGATAAGGGACGCAGTGGGGTGAACACGTAGTGTCCGATTGTGTTGCCCATCCAAGTTGTTTATGCAAGACTTAACCTCAACCTGTGACTAGTTGTGAAAGAACTTTGCGTAACTCGAGAAGAGTCTCTCTTCAGCCGCACAGTTGCCAACATTGGTATGTGAACTAGAAAAACAGTGAGCACAAGTTTTGCTTTTCGCTAGTTTAAAGTGACTTTCGAACGTTATTATTTTCTCGATATGTTATCGATAAATGGTAAAGTAATAAAAATTCGTTTAAAGGATACGTGTATTAGTGAAAAGTGAAGTTTGCAGGTTAAAAATATATTTCACTCTCAGCATAATTCCTTTTCGATAAATTTATAACTATATCTCTTTGGTTATTTTCTATCAATCTTCTATACTCTTTCATCTTATTGATCGTTTATGTGCTAAAGATATTTTGTTATTTAATATCCAAAGGTAAAAATGATGCCAAAAAACCAATTTCTACGTTAAATATTTAACTTTCTCGCATCTTAATTGTGGTGTATCTTTATTTAGTTGGCATCTTATTTAAACGGCCCCAAATGACGGCAATTAATGCTTAAATACCCAGCTCTTTTGGCCATAAATTGTTACTGCGTCTGCATTTTAATTATAACTTGGCCAGCAAACGCAGCGTGGCGGTGCACGATTAAAAAAAAAACTAAAGAATGTGTTAGAGGAGCGTACGAAAAATTTAGAGAAGAGGCAGCTAACAAATGACGAACTGGCCGAAACAGCTGAGTTGCAGCCAATGGAGCCAAGTGGAAGTCCGCCAGCGGCTGCAGCTAATTGCCTGAAGTCTGAAAGGGGATTATCAGGAGGGGGTAGGCTGTGCAACAGAAGGATCTACAACTGCAATGACAAGACAAATGTTGCTACAACCTGCAGCTACAAGTGAGCAGCAGCAGCAAGAACAACAACAACAACAACAATGCGCAACATGCAGTTGTTATTGTTGTTGTTGTTGGCAGGCATAAAAATTCGTAGCTAAACCAATTCGAAAGCAATTTCCTGAGTTTAGAGCCTTGTTGCAGCGGGTGGGCAGCGGCCAGGCAGGCATTTGCATAACTAGGAGCCTGCGGCGGCACATAGGCCTCCATTTAATGTGTGTGTGTGTGTCTATATAGTATACACACAAATATATGTATATAAACATTTAAACTACATGTGTTTGTTGTGTGTGTGTGTGTGTGTGTGTGTGTGTGTGTTTATGCCGAAGCTGCTGCTGAGCTGGCTTAGAAGCCCAGTGAAGACGAGTTCATTGAATTCTTTGCTGCTTTATTCGCCAAACTCGTAAATTTTCAACCAAATACACATAAAATTCAAACCAAACTGGTTCCTGCAGCACAACCACAAACAACAACGACTACAACAACAATAATAACAACAACAACAAGAGCATTAACAGCGATTTATACGAGACCATAGCCATATAGTCTTTGGGTCTCTTCTTTTATTTTGTTTTTTGTGTTTTTTTCGGGGCCTGCATTTTATGGAATGCGGCAGTCATCTTCAGTTTCAGCTCTGCAACTGCAAATGCAACTGAAACCTCATCTTTTGCCTTTTTATACCCTGTAACAAATCAACAGGCATCAAGTAGGCAGCTCCAAGTGGATATAATCTAAATTTGCATATGCCATAAGGAAGCAGCTCCAATTTAACCATTATAGATATTTGTTCAAGTTCCGAAAGTCAAATCAACCTTTTTGAGGATATCTTAACGATTATAAAAGTTAAACAATTTCCCCAAAACCAGAATGTTCGCATGCTTAAAAGAATCCAAGATACCTTCTTTAATTCTTTAAATGTTCACAAATATCGAAGAACAAGTCCAGAAGTTATTAATGAATCAACTTTACAAATTCTGTAAAGAAATAATGCATATCTCAGCATTTCCTTACTGTTGACAGGGTAGCTGCTAGTCGTGCACTTTCAACTCACATTGCGGATGCTTGAACAAAAAGTCGGCCAAGTTGACCAAGTAATATCCATCTGCTCTTCAACATTGCATTTCACTTTGCTCTCCGGCGGATTCGTTGCGGCTACTTCGATTGAGTAGCTGTCCGCATTTGTATCTGCATTTGTCGCCAGACAAGTCTGTGTGCCTGTGTGTTTGTGTGTATCTGTGTGCAGCTCTTTTGGTGCTTTTGCAGCTCTTCTTAAGTGCAGCTTTTGTGGTGAAAGCGC